GCCATTACGCCAACTGCTGGTCCCGAGGAGAGGGAACATAGCGGCTGGGGGCCAGGCCCTCACTCCCCCTCACTCCACAGCCCCCTCTCCTCTGCCAGGAGCCTCCTAGATGGCAGAAAATAAGGAAGACCGTTAGGACATTTGAAAGAGGACCAGGAGAGGATAGCATCGGGAAGACCTAGGGTCCTCCGGTCCCCCAAGAGCCCAAGCACACAGGCTCCCACTTTCCTGAGTTACTTTCCAGCTTCTCCGGGAGGTGACCCAGCCTGTCCTCTCACACTGCTCTGTCCTTCCCCTAAAGCAGACCCTGAGACCTGTTCTGTGAACCTCCCACAAGCCCCTCGTAGGTGTAGGTGTTCTTTTGGGAGCTGGTCATTCACTGCTCAGCCTTTGACATCCCTGAGGCTAGCTGAAAGCCCTGGGAAGTTGGGAAACCCCATAAGGAAACAGGCTGCCTCGGCCAGCTGCCATGGACAGCACCCCCTGCCTGGCTGGCTGGGCTGGCGGGGAGCTGATCTCCCCACTGACCTCCCCACCCCCACCAGGCCCAGCTGTTGTTTTGATGACTCCAGGGCCAGGCACTCCTCAGCCAAGAGTGTTCTAGGAGAGTCTTCATCCTCAACTCCTGGTGGCAGCCACAGCCTGCTCAGCCCTGTGCAGGAGGGGAAGGAGAGCAGTCTTGGCCAGGAGGAAGCTATCTCTGGCATCTTGGCGACCAGCCTGGCTCCTGTCTGACCAGGAAAGGCATCAGAGCTAGACATGGACGGAGGTTGGAAAACCTGGAGACTCCCTTCTGGGTCTGAGCCAGTCCAACATCTCGGTTCCAACCCCGGTCACAGGCTGAACCCTGCTGGCAATATGGTGTACTAAATCCTTTACACGGCTTTTCATCTACAACTAGATCCCGGATAATTTACAATGAACACACTGCTGGACTTAGAAGAAAGTAATAGCTTGGGACCAGTAGTTGACGTAATGGCTATGTCCCTGGACTCCCATGCAGTCGACTGTGGTTCGAGTCCCGGACCTGGTGGCTTAAACTCACGCCGGTGTGTGTGCGTGCGTGCCCAAGATCCCAAGAGGAGAATGAAGGAGAAGGGACTGCGGCGTGGCCATCCCCCGGGGGGGTGATTTCTTGCTTTCTGTCTCTCTGTCTCTTTCTGGCAAGCGCACGCACCCTATAGCAAAAACCTCTCCAAAAGAAAAAGTAAAAGGTAATAGCTCTTATTCAAATGAAACATTAAAAATAAACAAACAGGGTCAGCCATGTGGACCAGTAGTTAAGGAAGCTGGATCCACATGGCCAACTGCCCAGTTTAAATCCTGTCTGGTGGCTTGAAAAACATGCCAGGTGGGTGTGCCTGTGTGCCTCAAACCCCAATAGGAAGGAGAAATGGAAGAGAAGGGACTGCAGAATAACCACGCCTTGTTTGGGGGTACTTTATCTCTCTCTTTTTATTATTTAATTTTATTTATTATTATTTTTAATTTTTTTGCTATAGGGCTTGTACACTCATCAGAGAGAGACTGAGAGAGAAAGAGAGAAAGTGAGAAAGTAAATTGCCAGGCCCGGGACCCAAACCGTGATCAGTCATGTGGGAGTCCAGTGCTTTAACCACCATACCACCATACCACCTGCTGACCTCTCTCTAGCTCTCTTTAGTGACTTGTGCACACCCTCTGGAAAATGAAAAATAAACAAACCATTACAATAGTGAGCAGAAACCCTGGTGATGAAGGGAAATAGATGGGAAAGCATGGAATTTTCTGGACACAGAGACCAAGAGCCAGTACTGATCAGGGAGGAAATTGGGGGTGCTCTCGGGGACTGCTAAACCAGGGCCCTCAAGAATCCTAAAGGGAGCCTAAGTTGGTCATGCCTTACAAAGGGGAGTCATCTCTGGAGTAAAGCGTCCCCAAGTTAGGACCTCCAAATTGTTACAAATATGGACTCACAATTAAAAATGACCAAATGTTCAAAACAATGCAATATTATAATCAGCAGGGACAATAGATTTGGACCTCCAAAGACTAAGGAAATTGAAATTAGTGTGTGCAAGATATAAAAAATAACTAGAAAGTGTTTAGGGAATTGGGCCTGTCGGTGGGGTGGTGGCTAAGGCAATTGGATCCCAAATTGTTTGGAGTAAGACTCAGGAGGCGCCATCTCAAGAGGAAAAGGAGGGGCCGACAGATGGCCTGATGGTTAAGGCGCTGGACTCCCACATGGCTGAGTTCCAGACCTGGTGGCTTGCTTTCTCACTTTTCCCCTCTCTTTTTCTCTCTCTGACCAAATTAAAAAATAACAATAATAAATAAAATAAAATTTAAAATATTTTTTAAAAAGGAAAGAGAAAGGAAAGTTTATTAAGAGAAAGAACTCCCAGCGGATCTGAACCTGGAGGTGCTTCAGCCCACCCTATCAAGGAGATGTGAGGTATTTATATGGGAGGAGTGGAGAGGGTGGCAAGAATGGCAGGCACCCTGATAAGCTTCCTTGCTACCGTGACCTTATTGGTCCATCTGTGGATGTCGGCTTCCAGTAAGGGAGGGCACTTGCCAGAGGATTTTGGCCAAAGGTCACTGCAACCATTTTATTTTCTGACAGCAAATTACCTAAAAGCCATTCCGGGACTGATCTAACACACATGCTGACTGGGCAGTTCAAGCCCTAAATCTGGTGGCTTGAAAATCATGCCAGGTGCATGTGTGTGTGCATGTAGCCTCAAATTCCAAGAAGAGAATGGAGGAGAAGGGATTGTGGTGTAGTCAGCCCCTCAAGGGTGCTTTCTTTCACTTTTTCCCAGGGTGCTTTCTTATTTTCCCTGTCCCTCTCCAGTGAGCACATATTCCCTATAGCATATTTAAAAATAAAGTATCTAGGGGCCAGTAGATGGTGTGGTGGTTACACCACTGAACTCCCACACAGTTGACCACAGTTTGAGTCCCAGATCCAGTGGCTTAAAACTCATGCCAGCGGCTTAAAACTCGTGTGCATGCTTGCCCAAAATCCCAAGAGGAGAATGGAAGAAAAGGGATTATGATGTGGTTATACCCCCCGGGGGATTTCTCGCTGTTTCTCTGCCATTGTCTGTCTCTCCGGCGAGCCCATGCACCCTATAGCAAAAATCTCTCAAAAAAATAAAATAAAATAAAATGAAGCGTGTTGAAGGGGCTGGACTGTGGGGCAGTAGTAACACATGACACTCGGAGAGGCTGACCACATAGGAAGGTTCCAGGTTTACACCCAAAGACTTTGCTGAGCACACCAGGGCTGTGCTTGCCTATGATCCAGGGATGGCGGGAGCTGGGGCTGGATCACAGCATGAAGACCCTATTGGAGGGACCAGCGGTTAGTGTAATGGCTATGTCTCTGGGCTCCCATGTAGTCAACCACGGTTCGAGTCCCGGTGGCTTAAACTCACACTGGGCATGTGTGTGTCATGCCCAAGATCCTGAGAGGAAAATGGAGGAGAAGGGATTGCGGTGTGGCCATCCACCCTGGGGGATGATTTCTTGCTTTCTGTCTCTCTGTCTCTCTCTGTCTTTCAAAAAAAATAAAAATACCCTAATGGGGTAATGGGGTACTGTCTCTGTGACCTGGCACTTGCTTTCTCACTTTCCCTCTTTCTTTCTCTCTTTCTCTGCTTTTCATGCTTATGAAGTAAATAAATACATTTTTAAATAATTATTTATTTAATTTTATTTATTCATTATTTTATTTTGACCAGAGCAAGACACACACACACACACACACACACATACACAGAGAGAGAGAGAGAGAGAGAGAGAGAGAGAGAGAGAGAGAGAAAGTGAGAAAACAAGCCAACAAGTCTGGGACTTGAACCATGGTTAACAATGTGGAAGTGTCCAGCGCCTTAACCACCACACCTGCTGGTTCTCCAATAAATAAAATTTTAAAAGAAAGAAAGAAAAAGAAAGAGGAAGAGGAAGGAAGGAAGGAAGAAAGAGAGAGAGAGAGAGAGAGAGAGAGAGAGAGAGAGAGAGAGAGAGAGAGAGAGAGAGAGAGAGAGAGAGAGAGAGAGAGAGAGAGAGAGAGAGAGAGAGAGAGAGAGAGAGAGAGAAAGAAAGAAAAGAGAGAGAAATTGAAACTGGAATGGAAAAAGTGAGCATGTATCAAGAGACCATGGAAGTTATTAGAATGCAAATGGAATAATTTTTGTCAAATTTGCCTAGATTGACTGGAGGAAGACTATGGAAGGATGTTTTCTTGCACTAGCATGCTTGATAACAAGAACTATTTTTCTTTATAATTTGCCGTAGGGTGCATGTGCTCACCGGAGAGAAAGAGAACAGAGCAAGTCAGCACTCCCAGGGGGGATGGCTGTACCACAATCCCCTCTCCTCCATTCTGCTCTCTGGATTTGGGGCATGCACACACATGCATCTGCTGTGTTCTTCATGCCACCAGGTCTGGGATTTGAACCATACTGTTGACCATGATGGGATCCAACTGCCCCTAATCACCATGCCACCAGCTGGCCCAAGAACTATTAGAGAACTCTGCCAGAACCACTACCTCACACAAAGACCACTCCACCCTACACCAAGACTACTTCTGCAGTGATGCCTGCCCAGGGACTGTCTGCCCAACCATAGATTGATGCTACCCTTATTGACCTGGGTAACCACAGATTAATTCATGAATAAATCAGTGAATTTGTAGATATGAAGAAATTGCCTAGAAGCAGCACAGAGATACAAGGAGATGGCAATTGTCAAAAAATAAGATTAAAATGGTGGCATGGTGGTTAAGGCACTGGAATCCACATGGCTGACTCCATGATCTGAGGACCTGGTGGTTTGAAAAGCATGCTGGGCATGTGTGTACACGTGCCCAAAAGCCCAAAATCCAGGGAGGAGAATGGAGGAGAGGGAATTTCGGCATGGTCATCTCCCCTGGTGGGGGGTAGGAGGTAATTTCTCACTTTTCCTCTCTCTGTCTCTTTCTGGAGAGCACATGTGCTCTATGGCAAAAATCTAAAATAAATAAATAAATACATTTTTAAAAGACTGACAGGGAAGGTAAGAGGAAAAGGTGACAGTATGAATGAATGAGAGGCAAAACTGAAGATACAACAGATGAGAATTTTCCAGAGTTAATGAAAGATATTAATCCATAGAAACAAGAAACACATCCACAGCCTGAAACATGCTGGTAAAACTGCAGGCTACTAAAGACAAAGAGATGATCTAGAATCGTCCTGAGAGAATAGACTGAGCTCCTGCTCTGGTGCCTGTCTAAACGGGAACCCAGGTCACTAGCGAGCCCTGCCCTGAATTTGGTTACAGGATGAACTCTGGCTTTCTTGACCCCAGTCACGCGCTGAAGCCTGACCCTGGCCGCAGGCTGCAAGCCCTTTTGCAGCTGCTGGCTGGAAGTGGTGGAGCTTCTGGAATCATGGGCTTTCCGCCAAGTCGATGTCGCCCAAGACAGCCTCACAACCACTGGAAGGGCTGGAGGCCACTGACTGACCACATCTGCGAGTGCATGGGCTGCCACCAAACTCCAAACCTAAAAGACCACCTTTCTCGGGTGCCTGGTGTTGCGCTGCTGTGGGGGCCATCTGTCTCCTCTCTGGTTGTTTGCAGGCCTCTCCGCAGCAGGAGACGGGGTGGGGAAGGGATGAGGAAGAGCCGACCCTGATCCAGGGAGTAGAGTGCCATCTCCCGGCCACTTGGAGCACTGGGTACAGAGCCTCGAGGAAGGCATATAATTCCCCAGGCCTGGGTCGGGACTCCGACGTAGACTCAGACCCAGAGCTCGCTAGTGTGGGGTCACTGAGGGGTCGCGGGAGGGGGAACGCTCAGGGACCTCCCGGGATGTGGAGGCCGCAGATCCTAAGGAGAGGGCTCTGTGGGGTCACACCCAGGCACAGAGCTGCTCCTCCCCGTCGAGGCGGCGGCCTGCCAGCTCCGCATCGCTGGACTCTGGGTGGCGGCGGAGTCTGGGGGTCCAGGTTGCGGGCGGCAGCAACGGGCGGAGGCGTCGAGCGGCGGGCGCGGCCCGCCGAGGCGAGCACGAGCAGCGGCGGCAACGAGAGGAAGCCGAACACGATGAGTGCAGAGGAGCCGCGGTCCGAGAGCAGCGCACGGCACCGGGGTCCTGGCGCTGGGTGGACCTGGGGACAGAAGGGCTGTCAGGCATAGCAGGGTAGGGCGGGGTAGAGCAGGGTGGGGAGGGGCCGGGCCGGGCAAGGGGCGGGGCCATTGTCGCCGCGGAGCCCGAGTGAGGCGAGGCTGGGGAGGTGCATGGGGCGGGGTTAGGCCAGGCCCGGGGCCCTGGATCCAAGGAGGGCGAGGCTGGCAGTGTTGGGCACCCTCGGGTCCCGAGGTCTGACGGAGGGAGAGGCTGGACCAGTCTGTGCTGAGGCCTGAATGGGAGATCTGAGACCCAGATGGCAAATGTCCCGTGTAGGGGTCCTCCATAAGAAGAGGCTCAGAGAATAGGTCCTGCATCGCCCCCATTCCCATTTTCCTGACACCTTCTGCTTTCCCATGGCCTTTCCTATCTGATCTTGACACCATTCCTCGCTGTCACCAGCTAGTGTCACATTCTCCATCTCTCACCTTTCCATATGCTTATTGAAAAGGGATTTAGGGGGACCAGCAGTTAGCGTAATGGCTATGTCACTTGACTCCCATGTAGCCGACCACGGTTCGCGTCCTGGACCCGGTGGCTTATAACTCACGCTGGGCGCGTGTGCGTGCGTGCCCAAGATCCCGAGAGGAGAATGGAGGAGAAAGGATTGCGGCATGACCATCCCCCCAGGGGGG